CTGTCCATAACCTTACTAACACAACACAAAGCGCAGAGCGAAAAAGCAGCGTTGCCGCATCGCACGGAGTGACGCGGCATAGGATCATTTTTACACTTCTGCGCACACGGTGATACTCAACTAGTATTTTCTGTGTGTAGGGGCGATTGCGTGGACGCGAGTAAACTTTAGGTTGAGCACAACTGCAGTCGGAGAACGTCCTTAACCGTAATTTAATGAAATTTTGATTGTTATGTGTATATATTGTCTGATTAATTGTGATGATGATTATACGAGTAGTACAAATAATGAATTTATGAAATTGTATCCAAAACCTGCCAACAATTTTTTTGTTTTGAAGATCTCTTTGTCACATACCTTAGGTTTTATGTGAGTCCGAAGCCAAATCGGCAAGCAAGGCTCTAGTATCGCCATCGGCGAAGTTGAGCACCAAATTGCACCGGAGATAATGAGGATGTGTGGATTAGACAATAAATGTAGCCAAGTAGGTTGCTGCTTGCTTGTCTGATATATGTGCAAAAATAAAATTTAATTAATAATTTCTCTTTAATATATACAAACACGTAGACTTTAACATAAAATGCGGGAAATTTATTATTATTTTAAGTCTTTAGAATAATATAATTCTTGCAATACTATTGACAGTTAAAATTTATTAAAAAACGATAGAATTGTATTGTAGCAAACTCTAAACTTACTTTTTAAAAAACGATTCCTTGAAAAAGAATACTTATATCTATAACTATATATATTTTGAATAATAAACTTTGCTCTACACACTTACATTTTATTTCTTAATATAATTTAATATTATCTTAAAAAACGTACTAAAATATTTTAAAATAATGAATGTCACATATACCTCGATGTTTGTCTGAACATCTAATGTTAAAATTTGCAGACCTGAGTGAAAATAACGTATTTTGATATTTTATTATTTTTGTACAAAATATGCGCTTTCGACAATTACAATTACAAAAAAAGATTACTTACAAATTAGTATAACAATGAGACTGGACACCAATAGAAATGGTGCCATTTTTCCTTCGAGATCATAGAGCACGGAACCGATCGGATAGCCTAAAAGAACGCCTAGGGCGATGCTACCAAGAACGAAACCCATGATTTTAGATCTTTCATCTTCCTCCGAGTATTGAGAAGCGACCAGTGACATGCCGGAAACTGCTATACACGCTGAAGCTATACCTTGAATGCTCCGGGCCAAGAACAATATCTCATATGTTTGTCCAAAAGCGAATACTACGACACAATGAAAACTCGAGTTTATAGAAGTTCCTTTGAATTTTACTTGACTTCAGGCTTGACTTCTTTCTTTAACTTCAGGCACTAAATCAATGATAGTTTCGTAAAAGCGCAAACGGTAGTTTTGTAAAAACAAATTTAAATTTGACAAAATAATCGGAAAAATTTTTTCGGTGAATTTGAATTCAACTTGTGACAATATTTAAGTGATATTTAATTTTTTACTTCATTTTATTTATAATAAAACAACGTTTTGCCTGAAATCATGAAATGAGACTTGAATCTGGGATAAACGTGGAGTTCTATTCGTTGGAAAAACACAGATACGGATGAAAGATCATCTGTAACTTACGTAGAGCAACCAGCAAAAGGCTGAGATTTCCCAGGAATAGAGGTCTGGCATAACCTAGAGTGCCGGTGAGAATGCCCACGGCGGGATTCAAAATTAATTGGACCAGAGCCTTTGAGCTTAGCAATAATCCCACTCGACCGTTTTCGTCCTCTTCGACGCTCGAAGTCGTATTCGCGTCGAGCGTGCACAGATAATCGGGGATAATCGGTACTGAAACATGTCCGAATCAACGAATTGTTTAGTCCGTGATTTGTCCTCTTCGTCTTTCTCTCGGGTTAGTTGTATATAATTACCGACTACCGTCAACAGGACATTATCCAGGAAGAGGCTGAGATAGACCACTACGATAGTGATCATGCGACTGTTTTTCAGATCGCCCAATCTCATCCTTGCTCATCGATCTCGGTTTAAAATAAAATAAAATTGAATACACTGATACGAGTCACTATGTCCACAAAGAATTTAGTAAAAAATTTAGGGATTTGTCTTTAATAAAAATTCGAAAGCAATTTTTTAATTCTAGATAATTAATATATTAGTAATTAATGATTTTTAGATAGATAATATTATTCAAGTATGAAAGCAAAATATAAAATAAAATTTGTTAATATTCAGTATTTGAATCTCCAAAATGAATGTTAAGAAAAGAAAGAAACATGAAATGTAAATTATAGATAGATTCTTTTATTTAGATGTATACTATTCGGGACGATCTACATTTCTCAATCTATTTACTCAAAATGAATCTCTTTTGAATTCCAAAAATTGCACGGTTCTCTTCTCTCTCTCTCTCTCTCTCTCCCCCCCCCCCCCCTCTCTCTCTCTCTCTCTCTTTCTCTCTCTCTCGCTTTCCGTTGACTTGATAAGCACGTAATTCAAATAGTTCGAGAATTTTTCTTAATTTTTCTTTTTTTTTGTCACTTGAAAAGCCGTTCTAAACGTGACTGGAAAGCGGATGAGTTTCGTGCGGGCTTTTATAGCCGCTGGAGCTCGTCCTTGCGCAGAAGCTTTTTCATGGGGAGCAACGTGAAGGTTGGTCTGGATAGCGCACCGTTTCACGAGCCGATGCACTTTTCGATTTATCTCCATTATAGCGACTTATCGGCCGTCGCCAGCCGTTCTGATTTTCGCGGTTTTCATGGTGGTCTTATGATGTGGAAATAAACCTTAGCATGTAGTATAAGAAAACGCCGGCGACGAGGCTGACGAAGGAGCTGCGCGCGTTTGATAGAATTTTCGGAGGGCTGCGTACGTGTATCTTCTTTTTTTAGATATGAGCTACGTATACGATTGGTGAAAATTAAAGATTTGACAACCGAAAATTTTATTACTATTGCGTTTTCAATCGATGTCAAACTTGAGTTATTAAGCGGCTGTCATGATTAAATAATTTTCAAGGCGTAGACAATCACAATCGATGTATTATCAAGTACTATTTATTATAATATCTTATTTATCTTCATTATTTCAAAAAATAAAACTCGAAATGTAAATTTGTATGTACTATTATTCAATGTAAATTTGTAAGTACTATTATTTAATTGTAGAAGCTTTATTTATTCATTTTTATTATAACTTCAACATCATTGATGTTTCATACATTTCTTTAACAAAAAAATTAGTTCTAAAACCGTCAGTAACTGCTGTTGAAGTTTGAGAGTTTCAGTAATGGAGTAACTTTATATATCATTGAATTTTAATGAAGGTAGCTTTGCATTTAATATCACCAGAAAAAAAATAAAAAGGGATAAAACGGGCAAATGACGAATTGTTCTCTCATACGTCGCACTGCGGTGAACGCAAATTTCATTTTCGCAAGTCCCTTTGTTGTATACCCGCTATTTCGCTATCTAGTCATCGATATTCCCGCGGAGCACACACCTGTGTCCTGCTTGCGAAATTACGATCGACCATAATGCAATTTTGACGTTGAGGTACACGCCAAATTGATTCTGCGCCGTGTACGGCGCAGCTTTCCATTCGTGTCCTCCTTGCATGTAGCGAGGAACTTCCGTCGTCGAATTGATCAACGAGCTTGTAAATAATTACGAAGAAGCTCAATGTTTAACAAGATTTATACTTATATTTATAATCGCGTTTCCGTTAAAGAATTTAACTAGAATCTTGAGATATGATTTAATAAATAGATCTTGAGAATCAATTTAATATCGTACTTATAACTGCGATTTAATGGGAATCACATGAGATGAAGATTGTCCGAAAAGACAATCTAAGTTTTATTTTATAACTTCAATAATCTTCCTTGAGAGAAATTGATATGTGTATATGTGCTATCTTTTAAATTTTGTAGCAGAGAGAAGAATGATTATATTTTCATGAAAAGTCTGTGATACATCTACTAAATTTATAAAACATTCTAATTGTTTATCAAGCGACACGAAAATAAACTTTAATCTGTAAATAATTGCAGGTTTAATAATCTTTCGAAATAGAGCAATTAATCGAATTATCATTAAAAATAAAAATTGAATAACTCGTGTGTAATAATTAATTTTTTTATTATATAGTAATATATACATATATCTATACTAGGAATACAACGAATATCCGGCAACTATCCAACAATTTTGGCTGGTTTTTTATAATTCGATTATCCGGCCGGATTGTGAAAAAGTAGTTTTAACAATTTGAATAGAAATAATTATGCATACTTAAAATATAAAAATTCTCAAAATATTTTATTATACATAGAGGAAAGTCGCCGATACCGACATACCACTTTGTTTTTAAACAATATTTCTTAAAAAGGTAAAAATAAAACTTTAAAAACGTAATTACAAACTGAAAACTGTCTTCTATCAGATAGTATAAGCAGTTTTTCTAATACTATTTACAATTTTTCAATAATTAATTTTTTCCTAAGGTAAGCAAAAATGAGCGTTTGACAAAATGGGCTCCAAAACTGACACAGTAGGCAGTAATTCCTATTCTTTTTCTTTTACAGGAATTATCTGTATAAAGTACCTATAAGTGAATGTATATAAGATTTTTCAGAATTTTACTTCGTTATGAAACATTTTTATTGAATTGTATGCATATTTACTTTATGCTGTTCTGCAAATATGTAACGCGATAGTTTTTCTAGAGTTGTTCCATATATGCACGATTGTCTTCAGCTCCAATAGACTTATTTGACACTATAAAGCAACATTATAAAGATTAAATTAGCTCATGGTCTGTTTTACGGACAGGTGTGGCGGTTTACGCTGCACCCCAATTTTAAATTAAAAATCATATTATGAAAAGATTAAGAGAAAAAATAATATAAATAAAACTTATTTCGGAAACTACAAGTATTGAAAATGAAATAATATTATCAATAATATAGTCACTATTATTTAAACCTCACAATTTGCAAAAGAAAATCATAAGAATTTTATTTTCGCATTTGTAGAATTCGTTTTTAGCTGATTTGATATAGAAACAAGCCACAAACCTACGAATTATGAGTTTGTACTTCTTTAATTAGCTAAACAGATCATGATTTTATTAGTATTAATAAAGTGCAATAGTTAGTTCCCGAAAAATAAGGGGGTGTCACTTTAGGAGACCTATATCAGTATCGGCGATTTTCCTCTATGTATATTGTGGCGACTCGCCACTAGAGGTCCACAGGACTCACTCGGTTCGCGTAAACACTGCGCCGCACGAATTCCCTTTAAATAGAATATCATTCTGGATTCATTCCAGGCGTTTAAGGCAAGTCCCACACTACATCGCCTTACTGATGAGTCTAGTAGTGTGGGACCAGGACGAAACGCTGCGGCCGACCACAAAGCTTCGAGTTAGGCCTCCTTAGTGAACATTTCCACATTGGTGACCCTTCTGATCGAAAATCTAAGTTTATTGTCGTACATTCGAAAGAACTGACCAAGAAAAGACAACCACCAAAATATCTTACCAATTTATAAAAACTACATATTCTTTTATAAGGACTGGTTGTTCTATCTTCTGATAAATTTTACCTGTTGGGTAAGTAGCAAGATTACCCAATCACATGCGCGGATTACCAGATTTACCTCACAGGTAAAATTTACCAAAAGGTGAAACAACCGGCTCTTAATGTTTAAATATTAATTAGTGTATTGTTATGTAATGTAATGTAATTAAAAAATTAAATTAAAATAATTTTTATACCTTTATTCTTTGCGTATTATATTTTTGTTACATATTGTTTTTTAAGTATTTTATATTTTCCATAAGAAATATGAACATTTCTGTGTTATCAGACAATAACCTATTTCCATATTCTGTATAAATATTAAATTTGTATAGCATTTATAATAGTTTACACAAAAAGATTCTCTTTTTATTGTAATAAACAATTTTCAGTTTTTCAATGTCATTGTGAAATTTCTAGATAAAATCTGATTATCCGGCTTATCCGATTTTACCGGATGGTATCCGACAAATCATTATACGCTGTGTCCTTAATATTTACATAACAATCAAGTTGAAATTGTCTTATAAATTTAAATTCAAATAATATTTTTATTTCAAAATATTATACTTTTGAATGGAATTATACCTTAAGCAACATTTTAGTTCATAAAACAAGACGAAAAATGTGCGATAACGGCCTATTTTTGAAATATAATAAACGAAATATTCAGCATGATTTTATTTTAGAAAGCTTTAAATTTTTCGAAGCAATAACGACCTGCTGATGACAATAACAACACGGCCTTGGTATTCGTTATTGTCGTGTACACTGTGTATACAACGCGCTGTGTTTACGCAAGGTCGCCGCGCTATCATTTGTATATTGAAACTCGAACCGGCATGGGCAGGTTGTTGCGAGAATCGTTCCGTATGTCATCGTATTATTACCCCTCGAAATGTGATCGCGACATGTAAATATTAATAAATATTAAACACCGTCATTCATATATTATGTGATTATTAAGCCCTCCGCCGGCAATATTGGACTTTAAAGATACAGTCGATTTTTGGATTGTGAATTCTGGTTGATAAATTTAAATCTATAAAAAATAACTAAAATACAATCCAACTTCTACGACAGTGAAATCTCATTGTCAAAGCTTTCACAAGTATGTAAGAATTTTTTCAGATTTTTATACACTGAAATAATATAAAAATCTGAAGTTCGAAGATTCAGGTTACGAAAGGTGAAAATTTCACATTGCCAACAAAGAGTTAGAATACAATGATTATTAGACTACATAATTAAGAATTTGTAAATGTATCGAGATGACTATTGCTTATCACAAAAATATTTTGTGTAATTTATTTTATTCGGAATAGGAATTGTATGGAACGGAATAGAGAACGGGAATAATACATAAACTATTGTTTCGCGATGGGCAATTAATTATGTACATATCGCAGTGCATTTAACGATATCT